ACTTACAACAGAGGAGCGAGCTCAGTAAGTTATCAACAGCCTGTCGAAGAAAAACTGAAAACTGTTACCTGCCTCAAAAGGTTTTTTGTTGGTTGCGTCTCAAAAACTGTATAAAAGATTCAAATCTTTACTTCCAGCTCACTTGACCATTGAATTCTTGGTCGTTTTTTGCATACATTCGCATACCTTTACCAATGCATTGCACATAAATTCAGCTTCCTAACGTTTATACACTATAATTCATGAATATATCAAATTTTTCAACATACTTAGTTTTGCTAGGGGTTCATAAAAAAACGATTACAGAGAAAAAACGAAATTATTCGATTTGAAGCACAGAAAAATCCAAATTATAAGTTTTAATAATTGGTTTATCCGCCTTGTGATGCAAAAACGGCTCCACCTCGTTTAGGTAGGTCTAGGCTTCTCTGTACAGTAATGTCTCCCGAGTCGAGATTTTTCACCTAGTTTGAAGCAAGATTTGAGCAGTTTGAGCGGTTTTTTTTTGGACGATTGCGCTCAAAATCTTGCTTCAAAACGAGCGGTTTGAGCGGCTTTTGTACGGTTTATCTAAAAAAACCGCTCAAGTCTTTCGCGGTTTTTGAGTGATTTTTAGATAAACCGTTCAAAAACTGCTTACTTTAAAGCAAGATTTTGAGCGCAATCGTCTAAGCAAACCGCTCAAGCCCTGCTGCAAAAAAGGCGAACAACCTCAAATTGGTATCTCTTCTCGAGAAGATTCCCTGAAAAAAACGTCGAGGATTTTTTTCGAACGTTCCAAAGTTTTTAATAATATCCAACGGACTGAAAAAAAAGAAAGAACCCCATAGGCGAGCAATCGCATGCAGCCCCCTCTAGCACAGCGGGGCTTAATTTTTTCTAGAACTATAGCAACTTGATGCCAGGCTAAAAGCAATAATGCTCAAAAAACGTTACATTACGATCGAAGCTACATGTTGAAAATGCCTTAAGAAACAGACGATATAATTTTCTGCTGTTTAGCTGGGAATTTTTTTATTAGCTTTAAACACCGCTCGTAACTGTTCTTCCAAATTTTGGTTAAATAAACCGGTTGGGCAATTGTGCAAGCGGAATTATCAAACAGAACCTTGAAGCTACACTTTTGTTTGAGTTCGAATATCGAATATTTCTTAGAGTTTTTAACGCACTGATTTTTTAAAATTTTTTTGAAGAGAGCAAACGCATGCAACATAATCTAGTACAGAATGGTATAAAATTGCTCAGCACTAGCCTTTTGATCGCAGCCTAAAAGCAAAAACGCTTAAAAAAAGTTACATTACGATCAGAGCTACATAGTCAAAATGCCTTAAGAAACAGACGATATTTTTCTGCTGATGGTATATTCATTGGTCCCGACCCGATCCCAAATCTCGTTATTGCTATTGTGGCATCAGATTACCAACGCAGAATAACCGCTTAAGGTGGGGCCATGAGTGCACGATCTGATTAAGACCTGGTTACTATGCTAGCTAGTCCAATATATTCGAACCCATTTTTGCTAAGCCAACGTCGCGCCAAGTTGGGTTTATGTTTTGGGTCATTGTTGCTGTGATTTATCCCTACAAGGCACTGTAGCCGGCCAAACTGTAATTATGCCGGTAACTGTAACCGTGCAACTATTGACAAAAACAAAGTACCGGAAGTTGTCCGAAGAATCGGTACTAGACTTTTTTCAAAATTACTGAAGTAGAATCAATAACTTGACGTTTTATTTCAGTGATTCTGCGCGACGCAACGCTTCGTTCATTTTAAGCACATTTTTGGCGTTTTGGGTTGGTTTCTGTCCCCGTGTGGATTTTTGTTTTTTCCTTTTCCTTTTCCGTGGAGTGTCTCCCACTGGACTACTTCTCGGCTTGGAAACAGTCGGCATCAAAAACCAACTTTTTCACCTGGAATTTCAACACAGATTTGTCATTCCGACTCCCCCACAGAATGAAAACTTCAACAATCAAGGATTTCAACAATCCCCATTCCCGAATAGACATAGCAAAACCAGCTCTCAAACTCCCACAACAAGATACAGGAATTGATCACAGATGAGTAGCCATTAGACGATGAGATCCAAGAAGCAGAAAATTTCGACGACAAATTTGAACAGTACGTTCATAAAATACTACAGTTTCTTCAAAAACTCAAAACACCGACACAAGTGACAGTCGATCAACAGATGTGAATGTAACTTACCAAAACTAAATTTGCCTGTTTATTCTGGAGCATACATGGAATGGAAATCGTTCTTCGACTTGTTCAAAGGAGCTGTGATTGACAACACAAGACTGAAGAAGAGCCAAAAACTACAGCACTTGAAATCTTCTGACTCGAGACGCGGACAAACTACTACATTCCATACCGATTACGGATGACAATTTTTGCATCGCCATTGACATTCTAGAGAACCGATACTACAACAATCGTTTGATTTTGCGATCACCTTAGCACAAAATTTTTGAGCAGCGTTTGTTGACAACAAAAAACATCGAAGATCTACGAACTTTCATGGAAACAACAGAGGAACACCGACTCGCTTTGCTTAACCAAGGACAACCAGTGGATCAACAGGATAATTTTTTTTGCTTACCTTCTGACGGAATGACTTTTCATTGAAACACGGAAAACTTAGGAAATTTCCACAACAGGAAGAGAACCTCAGCGTTACGACCAGCTCAAGAAATTTCTCGAAGAAAGATGCCAAACTCCTGAAACATGATCTTTGCGATCGGCATCGATTGGTAATCAACAGCTGGACAGGAAAGGAAGTAACATGACACCAACGACACTTCAGACAAATCTAGCTATATCAGACAAGGACGAATGCGAATGTTTTGGAAAGAACCGGATCTACAGATGCGATATCTTCAAAAACGCGTCTAAAAAACACAAATCTCAACTGATCACAGTGAAACAGCCGTGCTTCAACTGTTTTCGACCTGGACATCGGAGTGAGGAATGTTCTGGATCTCGATGCAAAGAATGTGAACAGAAGCACAACAGTCTTCTTCATCGTGAGCAGAAAAATTTTGTGAAAAAACAAGACACCGCAACACAGCAGACATCAGCAAAAGTGAAGACAGATGACAAAAAGTTTACCGGAGCAGCAACTCATGAAAAACCTCAGGACGAAGTTTTTCTACAAACTGCCATCAATCCACTGGAGATCAAGGAAAAAATATTTTATGTTCGAGGAGTACTGGATTCAGCATCACAGAACAATCCCATAACAGAAACAGCTCTTCAACATTTACAGAAACGCAGAGAGAAGCAGGCAACAAGGATTTCCTGTGTTGGAGGAAATGAAGTTTGCGACAGGGGACAAGTTCATCTACTCGTCCGGCCCATAGACAATGAACCAGTCTCAATAACAGCATCATTTCTTCAGAAGCTAACCATCAATTTGCCTTCGAGACGAATCAACATCGACAATTAAACAACAGTGAAGGAATTACAATTGGCCGAGCCCGGATTCAACAATCCACATGAAATTGACATGATCATTGGAGCAGCACACTACGAGGATTTGATGATCAGAAACAATAGAATCAAGGAACAGACAGGCTTAATTAATTATCGACTCTCAGTTTTTGGCTGGCTAGTATTTGGACAAAAAAAACAGCAACAACGGAATTACTTCACTTCAACAGACGTTTCTTGTAAGCGACGATAGCCAAACAAAACTAAAACGTTTTTGGGAAATCGAGGAAGACCTTTTCAGCATTATGATTTTGAGTTTTTCTACAAAAAGCCATCAATCCACTCGAGATCAAGGAAGAAATTTTTTATGCTCGAGGAGTACTGGATTCAGCATCAAAGAACAACCTCATAACTGAAGCAGCTGTTCAACGTTTACAGATACGCATAGAGAAGCAGGCAACAAGGAATTGCGACGTTGGAGGAAATGAAGTTTGCGACAAGGGACAAGTTCATCTACTCGTCCGGCCCATAGACAATGAACCAGTCTCAATAACAGCATAAATTCTTCAGAAGCTAACCAGCAATTTGCCTTCGAGACGAATCAACATTGACAATTAAACAACAGTGTAGGAATTACAACTTGGCGATCCCGGATTCAACGATCCACAGGAAATTGACATGATCATTGGAGCAGCACACGACGAGGATTTGATGATCGGAAACAATAGAATCAAGGAACAGACAGGCTCAATCAATTATCGACTCTCAGTTTCTGGCTGGCTAGTATTTGGACAAAAAAACAGCAACAACGGACTTACTTCACTTCAACAGACGTTTCTTGTAAGCGACGATAGCAAAACAAAATTACAACGTTTTTGGGAAATTGAGGAAGTTCCAGAAAGGTCACCAGAGGAGCTTAAATGTGAGGAAAACTTCAAATCACCAACTAAAAGCAGACCACATGGACGATTTATGGTAAAACTGCCGATCAAAGAAGAAGTTGGACTACTTGGAGACTCACTACAGCAGGCTCGCAGACGACTACGTAGTTTACTCTTTCGTTTGGAAAGGAATCCTGATGTCTACCAGAAGTACAAGAACTTCATCAACGAGTTTTTTCACCTTGGCCATTTGGACAAAACTCCAGACAATGAATTGGTGTGACCGCACTATATCTGTTTCTACATGCCACATCATTGCGTTTTTAAGGATTCAAGCACGACAACAAAACTTCGAGTCGTTTCCGTTGCATCAGCAAAGACGACATCTGGAATATCACTGAAAAACAAACTTATGGTTGGACCTACAGTTCAGAAAGACCTTTTCAGCATTCTGATTCGCTACCGAATTCATCAGGTAGCACTGTCAGCCGACATTGCGAAGATGTACGCCAGGTGGAGTTGGAAGAAGAAGATAGAGACTATCATAGAAAATTGCAGAAACATAAAAAATCGACAGAGGTTGGGCACTACCGAATGACCAGAGTTAGTTATGGAATTGCTTCTTCAGCTTTTCATTCGAGAGGACCTCTTCACGTGCTTGCTGAAAAAAGTGACGACGATTAACTTAGGATGGCGACACTCAACGACATGTACGTAGACGACCTTCTATCAAGATCTTCAGATACTGAATCAGCAATTCAACTACAGGACGGACTAATCAATACTTGGTAAAGCTGGATTTGAAATTCGCAAGTAGACATCAAACGACACGAAGCTAGTAGAACGACTCCCAGTGCACTATCGAGAAGCAGCAGACGAAATGATAATCAAAAGTGACGAGTATGTCATCAAAACACTTGGAATCAAATGGAAACCAGTGCCAGATCATTTTAGTTTTGCAGTTAATTTAAACGAGCAGACTCCAGTGACCAAACGACAAATACTCTTAGAATACACAAGAATCTATGGCCCCCTTGGATGGCTTTCGCCTACGACGATTCAACTGAAATCAATCATACAACTCATGTGGAAAGACAAGATCTCGTGAAATCAGACCATATCAGTCACACTACAGGAACAGGCATGTATACTGATTTGGTTACAAGCCTGAATTCTGAAAGCGCCACTGATTGTTTTTCTGGTAAAGGTACAGGTAGTGAAATTTGAGGTAATAAAACGGGATTGGATAGTAGCTGCTTTGGGGCAGCTGGACTGCAGGTTCCGCAGCAATCGCTTATCGCGCGATGGCAAAAATTCCATCGAGCAAAAACCATGGTTGGCATTGGTATTGGTAAAGGTATGAATAGTGGTAACGCTTTATTACTGGATGCTAGTAAAGTTACAGGGACAAGACCAGATGACGGAACAAGTGTGGGTACTGATTTAGATACAAGCGCGACGTCTGTTAGCGCCACTGATTGTTATTCTGGTAAAGGTACAGATAGGAAAATTGGAGGTAAAGGTACCATATTGGATAGCAGCTGCTTTGGGGAAGCCAGACTGCAGGTTTTGCAGCAATCGCTAATCGCGCGAAGTCAACAATTCCGTCGAGCAGAAACTCAAAGAGCAAAAACAACGACAACAAAACTGACGATTCATGAAAATGGGAATTTAGTAACGTTCAATCAGGGGAACGAAGACGATTCAGAGGAATTGCACCAGTTGTCTAAGCCTGAAAATTTTTCAGCCGTGGAAGTTAAGGAAGCTCGCAGGATTCTGTACAGCTTGTTTCAGCAGCAGCATCATCTAGCCGAGTTTCAACTTATCAAGAAAGCAAAACGTATTCCAAGAAACAACAACCTTCTGAGCCTTTCACCCTTCTTCAAAGATGAGAGCAACCTAAATCGTGTAGAAGGACGCCTCGCCAATTCACCATATGATATCGACAAAAAGTTTCCTGTGCTCATTCCCAGGAAATTGCCAATCAACAAATTGCTTATTAGGGAAGCGCATGAAAGATCGTTTCATAGCGGTCCTCAGATGACACTCTACACCCTTCGACAAACAGTATGGATACCAGGAGGCCTCGCGTTGGTCAAACAAGCAATTAATAATTGCAAACCTTGCATTCGACAGGACGCCAGACTTCTTCAACCAGAATAGGGAGATTTGCCGCTCGAAAGAGTTGTAGAATCTTTTATTTTCAGCAACACAGGACTCGATTATTGTGGACTTTTCTACATCAACGACAGCAGCAGCCAAGAAAATAAAGTATATGTGGCTATCTTCATTTGCTTTGAAACTGAAGCAGTTCATTCGGAAAGTGTCAACTCTCTCACAAAGCACGATTGCTTAGACGCTGTAAAACGATTTTGCGCCAAAAGAGGATTACCGAAAGCTTTTTACAGTGACAATTCGATGACTTTTATGGGCTCCGCAGGTAAAAATGAATTCCAAAAACTGATGATGAACAAAGAATTTACAGAAACCGTCAGCACCTTCACCAACGACAACTCATTTTCATGGTACCCTATTCCACCGAGAGCGCCAAATTTCGGAGGATTATGGGAAGCGGCAGTGAAATCGATGAAACGACTTTTCTTCAGAACAGTTGGGAAAACGCGACTACAATTTCATCAGTTCCTGACAGTTCTGACTCAAATTGAGGTCATCCTCAATTCAAGGCCACTTGTTACGCCATCTAATGACGTCAATGATGCACTCTCTTTAACGCCATGACATTTTCTCATCGGACGACCATTGACAATAGTGCCGAGTTCTACGCGCGACAGGAAGACATCGCTAAGTCGACAAATTCAAGCCATAGTTCGTCAATTTTGTAAACGTTGGAAAGAAGAATACTTGACTTCTCTGCAGCAAAAAGCTAAGTGGACGACATCGCCATCACGACAATTCGCCATTGGAGGCATATTTATTATCAAAGAGGAGGACTACATCCTGCCTTTGATTTGGCCAATGGGTCGTACCACTAAAGCCTTCGATGGCAATGACCACATCATCCGGGTTGCACAAACCAAAACCCGAACCGGATTCCAGTTACCAGGCAAACTGTAACTATGCGGGCAACTGTAATATTGCAACTATTGACTTTAACAAAGTTTATGAAACTAAAACAGAAAATCATTTTTCTCAAATCTAAACGGTTTGAGTTGCTCACGTAAACTAGGAATTCATCTTAATTTGGTTAAGAATCTAAGATGTAGGAATAGAATCGGAATATATTAACATAAACATTGCTTAAATCTCGCATATTTTTTGTCCAGTTGTAGTGCTCGATAAGGTCAAGTAGATGATTTGTCAGAAGTTTTGCATATTGATTGGTATCTGTCTTTCCATAAGTTTTGCGAGCTTGGCTTATCCCTAGCGAAGCTATGCATCCTTAGAGTATCAGATTTCTTCCCTCAAACTTTTGTGTCCCTAGCACTAGCCACTCGCGAAGAGGAGTATGAGACAAAAGTGCAACCAATTGAAGCAAAAGTGACACCAAAGAAATAAATACTGTTCATGATCACTTTTATTTGCGAGTTAGGTTTAAAAAAAAAGGTTCGACCTAAAACAGTACGCTGCTCAACACAGCGATTAGAAGCAATTGAAAATCAACTAAAATGTACAGAAAGTGAAACAAACTTTAACAGGGTTGAATAAATTTGAAACATTCATTTAAACTGGAGTATAAACGATGGTAAGCAGGAGTTATGTGCGATGCATTGACAAATAACTGCTAATTAGGAATGCCCTTAGTTAAGACTAAGTTGAAGCTGAAATAAAATTTTAGAAATTTAAATATTGTTAGTTTTGTGAGACACAGTAAATCAATTTTTGACTAAAAATTCGTTGTCTTCAAGTGTGAGTTTTTTGAAATCGGATCCGTGGGTTAGTGGTAAAAATTTACTCTCGGTCTAAGAAATGTGGTTAGAATCTGGTTTTAATAACAGAACTCGAGCTTTTCTCGAAAATTACTGCGCCGGAAATTGTTAGCTAAGATCTCAAATAAATATTTATCAAAAAAGAATCCCTATTTTTTTATCTAGGGACTTAATGATGCCTATATTCTTTTAGTTTATCTAGCCGGTTGGTGTGCAAGTAGCACAGAATGTTCCGACCATACTCATTAAAACTACAAACAAAAATTCTTCAAAATATTAATTTTTCAAATTAGTGTTTTTTTTGTAGGTGGTAAGATGAGAAACTATACACTAATGTAAATAATTAGTAAATTAGGCATAAGCGACAACATTTGTCTTCAAAAAAATGTAAAATCAAACAATAAATGAAAAAAATTCGAAATTTGTTCTACTTTTTTGCATACTTTAAAAAAAAAAATTCCAGGGAAGTGCAAAACAAGCGCTAAATTACCAATGTAACAAAATATCATGATTTTATTTGGACGAAAAACCAAAATAAGAACCGGTTTTTCTCGACATTAGGATTTTTTTTGAAATTTTTTTAATGTACAATTAACGACTGCAACGGCTTTTTTATGATATATCACTCAACCGAAAACGATATTATGCGTGGTACCTGATTTTGGAAAACAAGAGAAACTATTTAAAAAAACACACTCGTATATAAGTTCCAACCCATTTTCAAAAGTCGCAACAACAATCATCAGCAACTTGCCAATATATTTATTACCAATTTTCACAAACCCCAAAACTCAAATGTAGGTTCTCCATTTTTTTTAGCCTGAAAGCACGTCTACAAACTTAGTTTTAACCTAGTTTTGACATTTTTGCGGTTCATGCGACGTTTTTTTTCAGATACCCCAGTCCTTATGCGGGAAGAGCAATGCCATCACGGAGGCCGTCTAAGAAGTTTCAGGTTGATACTATAGTTTCAAATTACATAACTAGGGAATCGTAACTAACAGTCGTTGATCGCATTTGAGCCGAATGCTTAAAACCGCTATTAATTTGAGGTAATTGCTCTGCACACGATGTTTGACTACAAGAAGTGGAATGCACTTATGGAGCACCCTTTCTCCCTGATTGGACTGACCAGAGAGCCTCTGGCCCAGTTCCAGTCCTTCTTCAACTTCTTTCAATTGGACCAATTCGTTGTCTCACTCTTTCCCAATGCATCCCTGGAAGATTCGTTCCACTATTTTCTTCGCCATTACCACAGCATGCAGAACAAAATAAATGGATCTTACCGGTCATTTATACGAAATCTTTTTGTAGTTGAATTTATTTTAGAAGAGAGTTTTACGTTATTAAGAAGTGCGAATATTGGTTCTTGCGCAATACAATGATGTACGACTTTGGCGGGAAGCATTTAAAAAGCAGCATTGAGGCCAAGGAGTACATCGGCAAAATAATGAACAACTTCTCAGTCGTTCTGGTGGCCGAAAAACTGGATGAGAGTCTGGTGGTGCTGAAGAACAAGCTGCGCTGGATTGGACAGATCTGGATGTACATTCCGAGTAACATCGGTCACTACCTTTTTCCTATTGGCAACCAAACTCTGAATTGGGAACGAAGGAAACTGCATGTTCACTTCTCTCCTTTCGACTATATCCTGTACAAAAAGTCAATGAAAAAAAATTGCACCGAGACACAAGTTTAATTGAGAATTTCAAAGAGCAACTTCTCGAGTTCAAAGCTCTCAAGAATACTATTACTAAGTGGTGTGAAAATGGAACATTTGGCAAATCTGGAAAATTTTTGAAGTCCGTTAAATTTGAGAGGAAGGAAGCCGTTTTTGACAAAAATGACTGCAGCTGATTGAAAACAAATATTGTTGAAATGTTATCAGCAGAAATTCAGAAGCGCAACAAAGGCAGGAGGAGAAATGGGTCAATTACTGTGAGGAAGCAGCTTAGAAACAAAAGGGAACAATCTAAAACGGATGAGAAATAGATATAGCAGCCACTCTCTAAGTTTCAGAAAATCAAGTTATTTTGAGGTGAACCTGATAAACTTCATATTTGCATTTAACAAATCAACTAATTACCAAAATTTTAAAAACAAATTTAGTTGCTATGATTTTTTCTCGAATAAGAGCGCCTGGTTAATTCATTTAATGGTCGCGTCTTCTCACCCTTGCATGTGAGCTAGAGAAAACTTTTAACACATTTTGTTTTTCCTAGAAGGAAATCTAACATCTTGAATGTTGTCATGGCTGAACAAAAAAATGAACGCCGTATAGCGATATCATTACGTGTAAACGGGACACTAGTATATTAATATCGTCGCTGAAATGTTGGATTTCGATACCACATTTGAAAGTGAATAGAGTTAATTTAATTCGATTTTCAATTACAATTAAGGATTCCTCATTTTAGAGGTAACATCAAAATTTGTAGGCGAACTTCACGCTAAATTAAACATTGCCAACAAGCATACTCAACTCGCCCGAAGAATTTTGAATTAAATTAACCCCAACTAACATGGGTTCCCTGGATAGTTAAGTGATAAATTCTGTGTTAACATCCTCTTAAAGGCTATCCAATTACCACCACGACCTGTGCTTGCACTAGCTCACACCCGGTTATCATACTCATATACACTACAAAAAAAAATGCGACTGTATCTCCTTCAAACAACTTTTGGAACACTATGCAAGCATTACTCTCCGTCAGTTATAATAAAGTTTTTCGTCAACAAAGGAAACTGCCACGTATTCAAGATAACTAATTAAATACCCTGTCTTGAACCAGCACCAACAATGGGTTGTTGGTATTCAAACCAACTATCAAAGAATACCCGCAGCTCTGATGGTTTCACGAATTTTCGCTCGAAAAAGTTTGCTGTTGGGAGTCTGGGTTCCTGGAATTTTGTCTAAAGTGATCTTAATAAAATATCATTGCTACTTGCTAGACTTTTTGCGATTTGATTGAAATGAACGAAATGTTTCCTTTGATTCGATTCATGGAGTACTTTTCAATTGATTGAATAATTGTTTGACGCTGACTTTGTTTATACCCAACCTGTCATTGTTTTCCTTTCCTATTGTGCATGATCCCTTTTGTGGGGGCGTAATCAACACTTGGCTATCCATTTCATCGCGAGGGGTGTCCTGCCCCTCTTCTCTGTGCTATAATTGCATCAGTGTGCCCATTTTGACAGCATTTGTCGGATGGGCTAATTTGCCCTGACACACACTAATTAGAACCCGGACACTTCCTAGGATTCTGACTGGCAAACAATCTTTTCTGTCGCACTTTAAAGATTCTCAACATGGAAATAGAATTTCGTTTGGAAAGGAATCCTGATGTCTACCAGAAGTACAAGAACTTCATCAACGAGTTTTTTCACCTTGGCCATTTGGACAAAACTCCAGACAATGAATTGGTGTGACCGCACTATATCTGTTTCTACATGCCACATCATTGCGTTTTTAAGGATTCAAGCACGACAACAAAACTTCGAGTCGTTTCCGTTGCATCAGCAAAGACGACATCTGGAATATCACTGAAAAACAAACTTATGGTTGGACCTACAGTTCAGAAAGACCTTTTCAGCATTCTGATTCGCTACCGAATTCATCAGGTAGCACTGTCAGCCGACATTGCGAAGATGTACGCCAGGTGGAGTTGGAAGAAGAAGATAGAGACTATCATAGAAAATTGCAGAAACATAAAAAATCGACAGAGGTTGGGCACTACCGAATGACCAGAGTTAGTTATGGAATTGCTTCTTCAGCTTTTCATTCGAGAGGACCTCTTCACGTGCTTGCTGAAAAAAGTGACGACGATTAACTTAGGATGGCGACACTCA